CCTCCACCAAGCAATTCACACATACCATCAATTGTCTCACTCTCTATTTTATCATTCTCCTCTATCGGGACAACATCAATATGTTGAATATCTCTCACTCTCTATTTTATCATTCTCCTCTATCGGGACAACATCAATATGTTGAATATCACTCTCAACCATTTTAAGAATAGCATGCATTTCATCCATCTTCATTATCATATCACCATCATGCATTTCATGCATATCAAGTGTTTGCACCTTAGGAGGAATTTCGGTAGAGGCAGATTCTTCTTTTTCAGTTACAACCAAGTCACAGACTTCTTCAGATTGCTTCATGTTTTCTGTTAAAGATCGTTCTTTGTGGATTCAGAGAACACCCTTGGTGGATTCTGTGGTTATCACTTCCGCGCTACGTTAAAACCACATGGAGTCTATGTGAAATTAACCCTATTTTAACCTGTCTAAAAGGATCATCGTGGTTGACAAATTAAAACAAGCAACTTTATTCGAGGTACAAGTTTTCATGTTTTATAAGTAGGTCAACTTGGGGATGATCCTTCATAATGTTGTGCGCAGCGAAAATTTCGGCAGCACCTCCGGTGCGCAAGGTGCACAACAAGAGATTAGATCACAACGAAATTCTCGTTTCTCAAAGGAAACAAGAACCAAAAGCCAGATATCTCATCAAAGTGAGATATCAGCTCTTCTTCTCGTCAGCTCTAGGACTGCGCGTCGAGGGAACCTATAAGCTATTACAAATCACGGCAAGAACACAAATTTTACGTGGTTCGGCAAATTGCCTACGTCCAAGGGGCAAGGAGGGGGGAGATCTACTATTAGAGGGAGAGATACAAGTAGGGTTTACAATCACTCAATCTAAACCCCCACACAAACTCTCAAATCCCTCACACAATTATCTCTCTCAAAAGGGGATGCACAAAAAAAAAACTCTCTCAAATTGGCTCTACACGCTGCCCAAGAAAGAAAAACAGACTGCACACAAACCCTTTGTTTCTTCTCTGCTTAGCACGCCCACAGCCGAGAACTAATTCGCAGCCGCCAAAATCAAAGTTCCTTGCACCTTTCCCCTGCCTTCGCATTGCTTCAGCCGTTCACACTCCTGCCTACCTACACACGAAACCCTAGGAGACTAACGAACTCGGGTGGGCCGTATCTCCGCACCTGGCTTTTTTTTACGCATTTAATCTCTTCATTAATCTCTTCATGCGCCTTATTCACCCACGCACACATGTGGTCCCCAGCTCTTCACGTGTTCACGTGAATTCATTCACGTGGGTTCACAATTCTCCACCTCGGCGAAGTTTTTTCTCAAAACTGAGCCAACACCAACCAAACCAAATGTCTCACTTGTTGCGTCCAGTACGCCATGGCAATGGACTCATGACATCAGACTCCATCCACAACACGTCGAGACCCAAACGGGAGTGCGAACACTCACCCAAAATAAATAGTGTCTACTTACCAATCAAACTGAGCCTACACCGACTACACCAAATGCCTCACTTGCTGAGACCCAAATGGGAGTGCAAACACTCACCCTAAATATCGATGTCGCTCACCAAATCGGCTGCATCATAAAGACTGTCTACGTATCCTCTTGCTCAAGGAATCAAGCCTTCACGTAGTTCACCCAAACGGCCTCCAAAGGCCTCAATCCACTAGAAGAGTTCGTAACCCTTCTCTAACATCACGATCAAGTCTGCGGCTGATAGCACCTCCAATGGCCCCAAACTGAAACAATCCAAACACCTCCACCTGAGATGAACCAATGGCCATATCCAGACTACATCTATCAGCTGCACTCGAATCAATCAACCTATCATCTGCATCCAAATCAACACGATTCCCAATCTGTATCACATCAGCTGGAATCCCAAATGATGCAGTATGATCTGGAGTCTCCACCCAACGTGGAGTAGTATCACTCTCCACCCGCTATGATATCCCAAATATCTGATCACCACTCTCCACCTGCCGAGAGTTAAACGTGACATACCTACTCAGAACAAAGTCAGAAGCCAATACCTGATAATCAAACATGCCTCTGAATCCCAAATGTGCTATCGGATCAAATCTCACATCCACGATGTGACCAAGTGCTGAGTAGCCAAACATCCGACGCAACCCAAAATCTAAAGTAGCTCCACCAGATCTAAAATCTCTATATGCAGCAGTCGGCAACCTATACATAAGATGGCCCAAACATGTCGTAGCCCGCACACCAATGCCAATGCTCGACATTAAACGCCGATCCTCCTCCAGAAAGGAACAGCTCCCCAAATCTGCCATCTCATCACGTTGCCTCAAAGTTTCCACACTAATGAAGTGTCTCCAATTGCCGTGAGCTCGGCACAAATGCAGAAATAGGTGCCTCTTGTACCTCCCTCTAACATCAGACTGAAGTACCTTCACCTTTCTGCCAATACACTTCCTCCATTTGTTGCGGGCTTCTAGGACTTCACACCAACGGGACTTGGTTGCAACCCACCAATGCCTAGAGCAATCCCTAACTGCGGAAACCACATACCTATTACCTCCCAATGATGCTCTTTTGGAAGGCCCCCGAATGCCTGAATGAACACCCCTCAGAAGACCCCTCGAATGATGGATAGAAGTGCCAAACTCCATCTTGGTCTTCTCTCTCATACCAATGGGTTCACAGGACTTCAAACTGCAGGTCATAGCACTCCTCAATAACCTATGCACGACATTACCAATCAAATAACCCAGCATCAAACAACGCCACAGTCTAGCCGAATCTGATGAAGTCGTCATCTCCCTATCAATCGCCGTACTTCCAAGTAAATAATACAAATTGCTCCTTCTGACGCCCTTCATCACAATCATGGACCCCAATGTGACCTTCAAACGTGCATCCATCAAGGTCACTTTATAGCCAGATGCCACCAAAGCTCCTAGTGAAATGATGTTCTTCGACAACTGCGGAACGAACCTCACTTCTTCCAACTCCCGCACCATCCCGTCACTTATCTTAATCCGAACGGTACCAATACCACCAATAGAGCATGCATGTCCATTACCCATGAGCACAACATCCTCTCTTTCCAACTTCTGAAAGCAAGAGAACCAATCCCTCCTAGGGCAAATGTGGTATGAAGCACCCGAATCTAACATCCACTCTGTAGAATTGGCAACACAAACTGACGGTAGTGCAGATAACGAATAGTCCGAAGAATCCGAATCTAAATTGTCGCCACTAGTCTTGATAACATTCACCTCTGAAGCTTGTACAGCTTTCCCCTTATTCTTCTCGGCTCGATCTAACTTTGGGCATTTGGCTTTCCAATGTCCATCCTCTTTATAAAAGGCACACTGATTCCTACGAATCCCACGATGTGCACCTCTAGACCGCGACCTTCTGCTTCGGTTTGAACCACGGCCTTGAACTACTAATGCATCTCCCGATGCCTTCTCGGAGGACTCATCAACACTCTTCCTCAACTCATAATTCACCAACGCTGAGGTCACCTCCTTGTAACTAACAGTAGTTCTTCCATTAATCATAGTGAGAACAAAGGTACCATAATCATCCTCAGTAGCATCGTCTTGTCTTCATCCTCAACCATGATATATCCACATTGGCCATGTCTGAAAGTAGCTTTGTGAAGTTGTTAACATGCTCCCTAATGGAAACTCCCCTCTTCATCTTGAACTGGTAAAACCTCTTCTTCAAGTGAAGCCGATTCTCAATGCTCTTAGTAAGATACTTTTCATTGAGTGTTTCCCACATCTTCTTCGCCGACGTCTCGTTCATCACGTCATAAATAAGATCCGGCGTCAAGCATGACCGAATAACTCCACACGCCTTACTATTCATCTTCTTTCAAACCTTAGCTTCCATCTCGGCAGGTTTCTCTTGTAACTCAAGAGTCTCCTCCAAATTCTGAGCGTCCAAGGCGTCCATCACCTGACACCTCCACAATCCGAAATTAATCTTGCCGTCGAACTTCGGAACATCAATCTTCATGTTATTGATGCTCAAATTATGTATCATCTTCTTAAGAGACGATCCCGATGTGCTTGTTTCACCCATGTTGTCGATCTAATCTTCAAATAGGAATCCTTCAGCGAATCCTTCAAACAAGCTCCCAAGTCCAACCCGGAGCTCTGATACCACTTGTTGTGCGCAGCGGAAATTTCGGCAGTACCTCCGGTGCGCAAGGTGCACAACAAGAGATTAGATCACAATGAAATTCTCGTTTCTCAATGAAAACAAGAACCAAAAGCCAGATATCTCATCAAAGTGAGATATCAGCTCTTCCTCTCGTCAGCTCTAGGACTGCGCGTCAAGGGAACCTACAAGCTATTACAAATCACAGCAAGAACACAAATTTTACGTGGTTCGGCAAATTGCCTACGTCCACGGGGTAAGGAGGGGGGGGGATCTACTATTAGAGGGAGAGATACAAGTAGGGTTTACAATCACTCAATCTAAACCCCCACACAAACTCTCAATAGGGGATGCACAAAAAAAAAAACTCTCTCAAATCGGCTCTACACGCTGCCCAAGAAAGAAAAACAGACTGCACACAAACCCTTTGTTTCTTCTCTGCTTAGCACGCCCACAGCCGAGAACTAATTCATAGCCGCCAAAATCAAAGTTCCTTGCACCTTTCCCCTGCCTTCGCACTGCTGCAGCCGCTCACACTCCTGCCTACCTACACATGAAACCCTAGGATAGGATTTTATAGACTAATGAACTCGGGTGGGCCGTATCTCCGCACCTGGCTTTTTTTTACGCATTTAATCTCTTCATTAATCTCTTCATGCGACTTATTCACCCACGCACACATGTGGTCCCCAGCTCTTCACGTGTTCACGTGAATTCATTCACGTGGGTTCACACATAACCCCTCACTTAACCTGTTGCCAAAAAACACATACATGACTAAATATCTATAATACTTTCATTTTATTCAAGTGTTATGTTCTATAAATTTTTCCGTAGCAATGTGTTCTTCTGATGGAAATTACAGGCAGCAGCAGCACTTTGTTACAGAGTTTTCCGTCACACAACGGTTTTACTGTCCAACATCGCGGGACCCGTTGACGAAATAGGGTTTTGTGGCCACCCACTCGTGTATCTTGCTGCTAGCGTCTACGGACACCCACAAGTACGTTCCCATGGTATCAGATTATACGTACATATTTCAGATGATTCGAAAAGTAACATATATGTATAACTGAGCATTTTATGTCGACACTGGCAGGCCATTACACTTCACTTCCAAAGTTACATGAACAAGATGGAGATGGTTCTCGCGGTTGATGAACTGACTGTTCCTGATCCTCACCAACTCCTACAAGACCTTGCTGAATCTCTCAAGCTTATTAAAGATGCGGTTGTAGAAAGATCATCTTAAGGTGAAAAATACTTGCCACTTTGGTATTATTTTTACCTATACATACCCCTCTCTCTCTCTCTCTCTCTCTCTCTCTATATATATATATATATATATATGCATTAAGAATTTTCAGAATTTTAAAATGATGATGTTGATGTCATTGTAATTTATGGCACTTCAAGATACTTGAATAAAAAAGAAGAGAGATGCATACAAGGCAGTTTAATGATTGCTGACTTGTTCGCTGTTTTAAAAAGTTATATGGTTGTCGCTGGAAACAAATTTAACCTTTGATTTATACCAGGGTTAATTACACATGCATTATTGACCCCCTACACTATTTCCAATTACGGATGACCCCTTGTAGTTCTATTGCTTGTGGGTGAATTCTTTTCGACTCATTTACCCTCACGAGCTCTATTATTTGTTAATTTAAAAACTCTCTGAATGTAAAAGAGTGAAGAAAATCACACCGGGTCTAAATGCGACCATAAAACTACAGGGGTCAATCTGCAATTGGGCGACAGTAAGCGGTCTAACCACAATTAACCCTGGTAAAAAAAAATCCAACATATCTCCCTCCTAAACTAGAAGCCTCGTCACAAAACCGTCAACCTCCATTCCCTCCGTAACAAAATCCAATCCTCACGTATTCTTCCCAAATATAGTCCCGCATCAAAATTGTCTTCCCTAGTTCTCCAACGCAATTCAAAACACCCATCCTCGTCAATCTCCCCTCCTCTCTCCTCTTCCATAAAATACAATGTCAGTCAGTCCAATCCTCAAACTGCCCCCCCTCCTCTTCCTCCTCCTCCTCCTCCTCCCCCTCCCCATCCTCCTCGCTCAAAACGACAACATTCTCCCTCAATCCACCGACCCCATCTCAAGCATCACCGGGACGTTCTCCCCTGACACCGACCCCATCGCTGACGCGTCCGTCAAAGCCACCAACAACATCAAGCACGCCAACCACCACCGAACCGCCCCCGAGTTCGTGAACGCGCACAATGCGATCCGCT